TTAAATTCCAAACAAGAAAACAATTAAAGAAAAAAAGAATTATATCAAGAACAAATTTTAGTTTATTTTTTTACACAAGTCTTCATCATGTTCGTGTTTTTCAGTATGAGGTGAACCAAGAAATCAAAGAAGACGACTCAAACTATAGAAGGCAAAGGCAAAAGATGAATGCAGAGAAGAAATATGAGGAAAGAAAACTACCAAAAACAAAGAGAGAAAATTTGTAACACAAGGAAGATTCATTACTTTTTTTTCTTTGAAACAGGAAGAATCCATTTCTAAATAAGTGAAGTTACGTAGTAGTATAGGAATTGTTCTTAATGGAGAAAAGTTGTAATGGAGAAAAGTAGTAATGGAGAAAAGTTGTAGAGAAATAGAAAGAGAAAGGAATGAAAGATAAAATGGAAGAAAGGTGAGTTGACATAAATGAAAAAAGTAAAGTATAATGAAAAGTAAACTAATTGCTAAGATGCCCTTGGATTCAAGTATAAATACCATGATATAAAGTAAAAGAATGACATGGCTAGTGAACACAAATGGAGTATTATTATTGGTCCAACTCATAGGTTACACCGGTGTAGGTTATTTACAACCTACACCGAAGAAAAAACCGTCAAACCATGATTGAAACTTTGGGAGAGAGTGATTGAGCGAAGGTTCTGAAGACGTGTGATCGAAGATTTCAAAGAATTAATTCGGTTCGACGCCTGATCACTCAACAATTGAGATCATTCATCTTCTTAGGCAACTTGTGGAGAAGTATATATAGAGACACTAAATAGGATCTGAGTTTGTTGCATGTTCATTGACTTTGAAAATTAAACCATATGATATGATACCCCAAAGTCTTTTGATGAGCCTTAACTAAAACAACACATCATCACGTAATTAAGTACATATATAAGCATCATCATGGATATGTATGACAAGGATTGTACTACAAATGTCCGTACTACTGTAGGGAAGACTACGTAGTTCCCTGATATGCACTAATTAGTAGTGCATAAATGTATGTTTTTATGTTTGATTTGTGTGAATTGTTTACCATTTTATTTAGTTTGTAAACATTTGTGTGATTTTAGTTGTAATTGTATTTTAGTTCTCATTTGTAAGTTGTTAAGTAGAGTTAGGATTTATGGTGTTGGAAAGGAAGACTTTAAAGTGAAGAAAAATGATTATTGGCTGCCCAAGACAATCACCCGGTCGGGTGAGGTATTGCACCCGGTCGGGTAAGACATTGAAAAGCGAAGGTGGCTGGAAACTACAATCACCCGGTCGGGTGAGGTATTTCACCCGGTCTGGTAAGACATTGAAAAGCGAAGGTGGCTGGAAACTACAATCACCCAGTCGGGTGAGGTATTTCACCCGATCGGGTTAGATGTGACCCCAGACAAAATGACGTGCTGAAACACAAGAACGTGGAAGATTATCTGATTTTGATATTGATAGACAATTTATAATAGTCCTCGCAAGTGCACGAGTCGCGATAGTATAGTGCTCAAGTAAGGGTTGAATCCACGGGGGAAATGCAACTAAATAATTGGAAGACTATTAATTAATAAAAATAAAAGTGAAATTAATCTAACTAAAAAAATGAATTTTGAATTTGTTTGATTTGAAACTAAAAAGTAAAGCTTGAATTAAAATGGATGCAAGGAATTTAAATGAATGAAAATAAAGTGATTAAAGTGATTACTAACGGGAAATTGATTGAGAATTTAGCAAGAGAAAAGATAGATCAGGATTATGAATCAGTCACTAATTTTTAGTATTTGTGATTTAGTTGGTCAATTAAAATTAAGGGTTCGTTCTAGGCAGAAATATGACTATTCCGTATGGCGTCCAGAATAAGTCACGTACTTTAACTATTAATCAATAGAAAATTATTAATTCAATAGTTAAAATCCATTAATCACAAAAGAACTACGGAAACCCGATTTAAGAACCAAATAGACAACTCAACAAGACGGTTAAATTATCTATTCTTTTATCCAAAAGAGCTCGAATCAATAGGCATGGCATGTACTCTATTAATCCACTCAAACAACTTAATTTATTATGCTAAAATTGGCCAGAAGTTAACACAACAAATTAAGCGAATAAGAACAATGAATAAAACTCAATCAATTGACTCAACTAAAACCACAATTCATACTAAATCATAGCAACATCGTCATAATCCAGGACCAAGAAAATTTAGCTACTCATATTAAAGATTATCTGGGCATTCAACAACATTCGATTGCTTGAAATACTCAAATAATTAAACAAAAACAAGTTTCTAATGAATGAAGAAGGAACAAGTCAAAAACCAAAGGAATTGTGGTTGATTCAAACCAGAAATTCAATAGCTATGTTTCAGAAATTTGGCAGAACCGCAAACCAAAAAAACAGAGCGTCGTTGTCAGGCCTGTTCTTCGTCGCACCCCAAATCAGCCTTTGCTTCTGTCCGACTTCCTCTGAACGATCCCTGTTGTGCCGCTGCTTCCCAGTCCGGCTTCTTCTCTCCCTCAAACCCTTGTTGCGTTTTCTTTTCTATCCGTTACAGCCCAGGAGTCTCTCCGTTTTTCTTTTGCTTGAGTTGGCGGGGATATAAGACCAATTTATTTGGAAAGCATTATAAATACCTCTTAGGCTTGCAACTTCAATTAAAATGACATTATCTTTTCAATTCAGCCCAAAGAATCCTCAAATGCTTCTTTTAAAACCCTGCAGTGTAATATTCATTCTCAACACAAAATACAACTCAAACCTCTCAATTAGGCAAATAATAAGCTTATAATAAATTAATACTCCCTCCGTCCCAATTTGTTTTGCAAAGTCAACATTTTTTGGTCAACTAATAATAAAAGTCAACCCTTCTTATGCATAATTAATTCGATTTTTAATAAATGAAATTTACATATTCATAAACTACATCAAAATATCTTCAAAGTTGTAAACTCCAAATTACATTATAATTAAAAATTGACATCTTAATTAAGTAAACAAAACGCAAAATATTAGGAACGCAACACTTTAACACACACTTAGAATAAAGGCACACGACTTTACGGTCAACGACCAACCTTGTATTAATTCACAATTAATACACTAGGACTAATACAACACGCTCACAATGTCTAACACACTTGCAAACACTCGGCCACACTGCTGTCTCTCGCTAAGTGGGGGTGATTGTAACACTTGATTGTAAACACCAATTGTTACACGGTAAAATTCACGTCTCGAATTTTCACCCTGTACGGCCTGCCTTAACGCCTTAAGACAGTCAGCCTTCCACCCAATGCCGCGGCGCAACCCTTAATTGGGATAGGAACGCAACACTTTAACACACACTTAGAATAAAGGCACACGACTTTACGGTCAACGACCAACCTTGTATTAATTCACAATTAATACACTAGGACTAATACAACACGCTCACAATGTCTAACACACTTGCAAACACTTAGGACGTTGCGATCCTAAGTGGGGGTGATTGTAACACTTGAGATTTAATATAAATACATTAATAGTACTACTCATACTAATAAGATGCATCTCCTTTTAAGGGAGCTCATCCGCTAAGAACTCCAAAGTTAAGCGTGCTTGCACGGGAGTAGTCTTGGGATGGGTGACCCCCTGGGAAGTTTCTCAGGGCGCGCACGAGTGAGGACAAAGTGTGCGGAAAAGGCTAGTGGCGGTTTGTGGGGACAGTACTAGAGGTCTGGAGTAACTACCTCGGGGCCTGCGGGGCCGGGGTGTTACAGGTGGTATCAGAGCACAAAGGATGGCAACTGTTTGACCAAGAAAAGTCAAATTTGCAAATCAATTCGGGATGGAGGTAGTATAAAAATGAAGCACAAATTCTAGCTCATCAGACATGCACCCGGTCAGGTGGGCATTTGACCCGGTCGGGTACCCGACCAAATGTGTTGAAAAACACCTATAAATAACACACTTTTCCTTCACTAATAATTACTCCTTCTTCTATACTCCTAAGCTCAGTTTAGAATAATATTTCTTTTATATTTTTATAGCATGTTTAGTCTCCAAATGAGGAGCTAAACTCTCATTTCTTGGTGTTGCTCTTGAAACTTGTTGACTATTAAAGTTGTGAGTTATTTTCTTAACTTCTTCCCTTGAATATTAATTCTTCCCTTGATCTATCTCTATATTAATGTTGGGGAGTGTTGCTAAGATGACAATTAGTTAACATCTCGACATTAATTACTACTAGAAACGATTAACGAATTGATGGTTAATCGTTGATGGTTTCACAAGTAAGTAACTTCGGTTTATTAATGCACGGTCGTGGTTAATAAACTTAAGAGGGATTAATTTTGTTGGTTAAACCGAAACCGTTGTGTTGAGGTTATCAATCTCAATTCATTTCATCAAGGAGTTAAGAGATTAAATGCTACTATCAAGTCGGTATATGGCGGTGTTCTATACTTGACTAATAGTAAGGGTTATTAATGAACGGTCGTTGTTAATAACTACCCTCGATGAATTGGATATACTCCTCGATTGAGTATTCGAGAGGGGATAAGTTATAGATATAACAATGATCGACTAAAATATATCAACAAGTGGAAAGTAGCAAGACCAAGTTCTTTTTATCTTTGAATTAAATCACATATAAGTTGTTCATCTTGGTGTTTAAATTAATTAAATTCCAAACAATCCCAAAACACCCCTTTTTATTTACTGGTTTTTTAAAAAGAGAATTATTTCTTTCCCTGTGGATACGAACTCTACTTCACTTATACTATGTATAAGTATTAGTATCGATTTATTTTGACGCACTACAACAAAGTGCTCGTCATTTCCTATTACTATTAGAGTACACCAAAATCTGGCTCCGAATCCTTTCTTATTTGGTATAGTCATGGATAAACTTATGAAATCAATTGAAAATGGTATACCGTGGTGCATGATGTTTGTCGACGATATTGTATTGATCGATGAAACACATTCAAGTGTTAAAAATAATTTGGAAATATGGCGACAAACATGGGAGATCAAGAGTTTTAGATTGGGCTAAAGCAAGATTGAGTATATGGAATGCAGGTTTGATAGAGGTAGAAGTAGTGGTAACAGTGATATTACCTTTTGATGGATAGAAGACGATGAACTATATATGAAGATGTATCACATATAATCATAACTTGGTGAATGAAATGGAAGAGTGTGTCAGGTTTTGTATGTGATCGAGGTATGTCGATTAGACTAAATGGTACATTATTTTATCGACAATAATTGCCCGCATTACTGTACTCTCTTTGAGCCAGGTCCACATTGAGGCAGTAATTGGCTTGAGAGGTTAGTTGCCATCTGACTGGCTTGGTGTTCATTTTTGTTTTAATGAGTGTATATCCTTGTCAAATTGGATGGATTTTCTGCCTGCATGAACTGTGCACCAGTTCGTGAGTAAATTTGTTGATATTTTTGATTGTTTGTTTTGTTGAAAATGGCTTGTTGTCCCAAATTAATTGGTTGTATGATTTCCATGCGAACTACATGACTGTCCGTGGTAGTATTTGTCTGAGTGAGTTTCTAATAGTGTTTGTTTGACCTCTTTGCCACGATCTAAAAAGTGTTTGTCGAAGTTCTGGGTGCGTGGTTGTACCTACCTGCAAAAAGTTATAAAAGAAATTCCGAATGAGTCTTATGTTTGAGCAGTTGAACAAGCAGTGGTCTGATCGAAGATTAAAGCGGGTGAGGTTTTCAGGCAATTTTCGATGAATTTCCAAAGTAGCAGTTTGAGTTTGAGTTGTCGTTTGGTGTTCCAAAGGTTCGTTTGATGCATGGTTAGCGCTTATGAGGGATCCGAGAATTGACCATCTGGGGATGGTTTCTGAATCATGTGATCATCTCTTAAGACTGTTAGACCTTTGTCTATCGTGTGTGTTCGACATATCTGTTTCCAAATTGCGGAATTTGTGAGTTTGTATGTCAGTGTTTTTGACCCAGAGTATCTGATTTGCATGAACTTGGTCCATAATGATTTGCCCTGTTGGTCTGTCCACCAATTTTTACGGTGCAAGGAAGCTTGGATGTCTGAGATGACATATTTTTGCCCAGCTTTTCTAATTGTAATTGTTTTTCTCACCTTTATTTCCCCCAAAAAAATTGGCCATAACTCTGTAGGCCAATTTACGTGTGTGTAGGAATGTTTGCTTCTGCGGCCAAGTGGTTTAGAGGTATGCCTGATGGAGAGGATGTGTTTGATTAGAATGAGTCTGCCAGCTTGACTGAATAATTTTTTCAACGTGCTGAGTCTGAGTTCAAATTGTTCCACAATGTTAATGCAATGATGTGATTCCTTGGTGCAAGCTATCTCTTGGCTAGGTACGTCGCTAGTAGGGTGGTGGTGCCATGCCCGTTATGGTTTCCATCTATTGAGCGTTTTGTGTTTCTGCCAATGTATATTGTTCTCTTCTTGAACTTCAGACCTGAAATATTTATTGACAACAAGTATATACTTCGTATTAATTTTGATCAGTATCAACACTTAATACATAAGGAAAGTGGGAAGTTGTTTTGGGACGGAGGGAGTATAACCAATTTAGATATTACACAACTTATACATCCACAAGTGGTACATCGATTTTCAAATCCACTGCTTGGCATGTTATAGAAAACACTCATTTAAAATTTCAGAAATTAAGCTAACAAATAATCATCGGTAAAAAGACAGGAATTTCTGTATCATACAATGCCCCAACCCCACCACCAACCCATAATGGTTGCATACGTGATTGAAATTGTACATCAAAAATGCTTTTCACATCACTACACACTATATATACTCCCAATTTTTTTTTTCAATTTTGCTATGGGTACCCCAAAAGGTACCCCATATTTACCCCATATAAAAACCTTCCCCACTTTTATTCTCCCCCCCCCCCCTCCCTCTTTCTCCTGCACCCCCACCTCTCTTCCTCCCTCCCTCTCCTCTTTTTTCACGTACCCCCTTCCCCTTTCTTCTCCATTTCAAGATATTTCTCCTTCTTTAAAACTTCCCATTTTTACCATTTTTACCACCCTTCAACCTCCGATCTTCTCATGCTTTTCTCCTCTTCCACCGGTGACGTTGCCGACGGCGGGCCTATGCCGGTTGCCGTTTCGGATGCATCCTCAAGGGAAGACAACGACGAAGACATACCAAGAAACTTTGAATAGATTGAGCAATAGATCGGTCTTCTTTTCTTGATTTTGTTTTCTTGAGTTTTGATGTATTTTTGAAATAAAAGGGGTTGTCTGTCTGACAGACAACTTGTAAGTGTAGTGTCTGTAAGAGTCGTGAAAGTGTCTGTCATTTGAAAACTAAATGTCTGTAATTGATATTTTATTGTTTGTTATTTGTTTATTAGTTGTCTGTATTTGTTTTGAGTTGTCTGTCATGTTGTTGTGAGGTGTCTGTAAGAGTCGAGAAGTTGTCTGTAACTCATATTTAGTTGTTTGTCATTTCATTGTGAGTTGTATGTAATTTGTGGTGAAAAATAATGTCTGTCTGATTATCTCTATTGTCTGTCTAGTGATACGTATTGTCTGTCTTTTTTATGAAACATATGCCAAAATGGTAATTCACAATAAAGTAGTGTCTGTATGTGTATACTTATTGTTTGTATGTGTATATTTAATGTCTGTCTCGTTATACTAATTACATCTCAAAATATAAACATCACAAATTACATACAGACAACTCAAAACAAATACAGACAACTAAAAACATTTACAGACAACTCAAAACAAATGAAGAACAATTAACCATCAATTACAAACAGACAGACAATTTCACGACTTTTACCGACACTGCACTTACAAGTTGTCTGTCAGACAAACATCCTTTTTATTTTGAAAACACATCCAAAAAACAAGAAAACAAAATCAAGAACAAGAAATCAAGAAAATAAAATCTGGTCTCAAGTCATTCCAAACTTCTTGGTCTACACCTTCTTCGTTCTTTCTTGTTCACCAAGCTCTCCCCATTCGCCCGACTAGTGTAGCTCCGCCATTTGAAACGGAAAAAAAAAGGTGGAAGAAGAGAGAAGCAAGAGAAGAAGGTTGGAGGAGGAAAAGAAGGTAAAAATAAGAAACCTTAAAGAAGGGGAGATCTAGAAATGGAGAAAAGAGAAAGAGAAAGGGGAAGGGATGAGGCTGTGTGAAAAGATAAAAGAATCAGGAGAGAGAGACGGAGGGAGGGGAGGGAAAAAGTGGGGGAGGAAGGGAAGGAAAAAAGTGGGGAGGGTTTTTATATGGGGTAAACATGGGGTACCTTTTGGGGTACCCATAGCAAAATTGTTTTTTTTACCCCTTCCTCACTTATCTCTCCTCCAATTTTGCTATGGGTACCCCAAAAGGTACCCCATGTTTACCCCATATAAAAACCCTCCCCACTTTTTTCCTTCCCTTCCTCCCCCACTTTTTTCCTCCCCTCCCTCCCTCCCTCCCTCCCTCTCTCTCCTGATTCTTTTATCTTTTCACGCAGCCTCATCCCTTCCCATTTCTCTTTTCTCCATTCCTAGATCTCCCCTTCTTTAAGGTTTCTCATTTTTACCTTCTTTTCCTCCTCCAACCTTCTTCTCCTGCTTCTCTCTTCTTCCACCTTTTTTCCCCGTTTCAAATGGCGGAGCTACACTAGTCGGGCGAATGGGGAGAGCTTGGTGAACAAGAAGGAATGAAGAAGGTGTAGACCAAGAAGTTTGGAATGGCTTGAGACCAGATTTTATTTTCTTGATTTCTTGTTTTTGATTTTGTTTTCTTGTTTTTTGGATATGTTTTCAAAATAAAAAGGGATGTCTGTCTGACAGACAACTTGTAAGTGCAGTGTCTGTAAAAGTCGTGAAGTTGTCTGTCTGTCTGTAATTGATGGTTAATTGTTCTTCATTTGTTTTGAGTTGTCTGTAAACGTTTTTAGTTGTCTGTATTTGTTTTGAGTTGTCTGTATGTAATTTGTGATGTTTATATTTTGAGATGTAATTAGTATAACGAGACAGACATTAAATATACACATACAAATAATAAGTATACACATACAGACATTACTTTATTGTGAATTACCATTTTGGCATATGTTTCATAAAAAAGACAGACAATACGTATCACTACACAGACAATAGAGATAACCAGACAGACATTATTTTTCACCACAAATTACATACAACTCACAATGAAATGACAAACAACTAAATATGAGTTACAGACAACTTCTCGACTCTTACAGACACCTCACAACAACATGACAGACAACTCAAAACAAATACAGACAACTAATAAACAAATGACAAACAATTAAATATCAATTACAGACATTTAGTTTTCAAATGACAGACAATTTCACGACTCTTACAGACACTGCACTTACAAGTTGTCTGTCAGACAGACAACCCATTTTATTTCGAAAATACATCAAAACTCAAGAAAACAAAATCAAGAAAAGACGATCTATTGCTCAATCTATTCAAAGTTTCTTGGTATGCCTTCGTCGTTGTCTTCCCTTGAGGTTGCATCCGAAACGGAAACCGGCGTAGGCCCGCCGTCGGCAACCGACATAGGGCCGCCGTCGGCAACGTCACCGGTGGAAGAGGAGAAAATCAGGAGAAGATCGGAGGTTGAAGGGGGGGAAAGATGGTAAAAATGGGAAGTTTTAAAGAAGGAGAAATATCTTGAAATGGAGAAGAAAGGGGAAGGGGGTACGTGAAAAAAAAGGAGAAGGAGGGAGGGAGGGGAGGAAAAAAGTGGAGAGGGTTTTTATATGGGATAAATATGGGGTACCTTTTGGGGTACCCATAGCAAAATTGATCTCTCCTCTCCCCTCCCTTCCAGGCCATTCCTTTCCCTTCTTTCTCTTTTCTTCCATTTCGTTCCATTCTTTCTCTGTTCCTAACTCCCCTCCCTTTCCTCTCTCCTTACCTTCCACTAACCCTTCTCTTTTTTCTTTTCTCATTTCACTTGTACGTTTCTCCCTTCCCAAATGCCAAATCCCAGAAATAATCTTTTCGGTGGTCACCTATTCACCTGTCCATCAGCCGTGTGATTGCCGCCAGAATCGGTGCAGACGGTGAGGATGAGACGGTCAGTTTGCGTCGCTCCAATCAACCAGCCCATAAGTTGAGGTAAAAATCTATTCGATTTTTCTATATGCACTCAGTTGTTTTTTTTGCAAACTAAGAACTTAGGGTTCTGTTTATTTAAAATTTGTGATTATTTGCATATAATGTATGGTATAACACTGAGTACTTAATTATTGAAATTTTATTTCAATTACTCTATTTCACATATATGCTCCTAATATGTTTGTTGAAATGACTAGATGATTTTTTTGTTTAAATCCAAGACTTTTACTCACCTTTTTTGTTAATAAGTTTAAGATTCTAATTTTCTTGAATACTGGCTTTTAATTTGATGCTTTGATAAAAAGAGTTCAATTATTCCTTAGTTAATTTTGGGACATCCATTTAAGGAAAGTGGGAAGTTGTTTTGGGACGGAGGGAGTATAACCAATTTAGATATTACACAACTTATACATCCACAAGTAGTACACCGATTTTCAAATCCACTGCTTGGCATGTTATAGAAAACACTCGTTTAAGAATTCAGAAATTAAGCTAACAAATAATCATCGGTAAAAAGACAGGAATTTCTGTATCATACAATGCCCCAACCCCACCACCAACCCATAATGGTTGCATACGTGATTGAAATTGTACATCAAAAATGCTTTTCACATCACTACACACTATATATACTCCCAATTTTTTTTTTTTCAATTTTGCTATGGGTACCCCAAAAGGTACCCCATATTTACCCCATATAAAAACCTTCCCCACTTTTATTCTCCCCCCCCCTCCCTCTTTCTCCTGCACCCCCACCTCTCTTCCTCCCTCTCTCTCCTCTTTTTTCACGTACCCCCTTCCCCTTTCTTCTCCATTTCAAGATATTTCTCCTTCTTTAAAACTTCCCATTTTTACCACCCTTCAACCTCCGATCTTCTCATGCTTTTCTCCTCTTCCACCGGTGACGTTGCCGACGGCGGGCCTATGCCGGTTGCCGTTTCGGATGCATCCTCAAGGGAAGACAACGACGAAGACATACCAAGAAACTTTGAATAGATTGAGCAATAGATCGGTCTTCTTTTCTTGATTTTGTTTTCTTGAGTTTTGATGTATTTTTGAAATAAAAGGGGTTGTCTGTCTGACAGACAACTTGTAAGTGTAGTGTCTGTAAGAGTCGTGAAATTGTCTGTCATTTGAAAACTAAATGTCTGTAATTGATATTTTATTGTTTGTCATTTGTTTATTAGTTGTCTGTATTTGTTTTGAGTTGTCTGTCATGTTGTTGTGAGGTGTCTGTAAGAGTCGAGAAGTTGTCTGTAACTCATATTTAGTTGTTTGTCATTTCATTGTGAGTTGTATGTAATTTGTGGTGAAAAATAATGTCTGTCTGATTATCTCTATTGTCTGTCTAGTGATACGTATTGTCTGTCTTTTTTATGAAACATATGCCAAAATGGTAATTCACAATAAAGTAGTGTCTGTATGTGTATACTTATTGTTTGTATGTGTATATTTAATGTCTGTCTCGTTATACTAATTACATCTCAAAATATAAACATCACAAATTACATACAGACAACTCAAAACAAATACAGACAACTAAAAACATTTACAGACAACTCAAAACAAATGAAGAACAATTAACCATCAATTACAAACAGACAGACAATTTCACGACTTTTACCGACACTGCACTTACAAGTTGTCTGTCAGACAAACATCCTTTTTATTTTGAAAACACATCCAAAAAACAAGAAAACAAAATCAAGAACAAGAAATCAAGAAAATAAAATCTGGTCTCAAGTCATTCCAAACTTCTTGGTCTACACCTTCTTCGTTCTTTCTTGTTCACCAAGCTCTCCCCATTCGCCCGACTAGTGTAGCTCCGCCATTTGAAACGGAAAAAAAAAAGGTGGAAGAAGAGAGAAGCAAGAGAAGAAGGTTGGAGGAGGAAAAGAAGGTAAAAATAAGAAACCTTAAAGAAGGGGAGATCTAGAAATGGAGAAAAGAGAAAGAGAAAGGGGAAGGGATGAGGCTGTGTGAAAAGATAAAAGAATCAAGAGAGAGAGACGGAGGGAGGGGAGGGAAAAAGTGGGGGAGGAAGGGAAGGAAAAAAGTGGGGAAGGTTTTTATATGGGGTAAACATGGGGTACCTTTTGGGGTACCCATAGCAAAATTGTTTTTTTACCCCTTCCTCACTTATCTCTCCTCCAATTTTGCTATGGGTACCCCAAAAGGTACCCCATGTTTACCCCATATAAAAACCCTCCCCACTTTTTTCCTTCCCTTCCTCCCCCACTTTTTTCCTCCCCTCCCTCCCTCCCTCCCTCCCTCCCTCTCTCTCCTGATTCTTTTATCTTTTCACGCAGCCTCATCCCTTCCCATTTCTCTTTTCTCCATTCCTAGATCTCCCCTTCTTTAAGGTTTCTCATTTTTACCTTCTTTTCCTCCTCCAACCTTCTTCTCCTGCTTCTCTCTTCTTCCACCTTTTTTCCCCGTTTCAAATGGCGGAGCTACACTAGTCGGGCGAATGGGGAGAGCTTGGTGAACAAGAAGGAATGAAGAAGGTGTAGACCAAGAAGTTTGGAATGGCTTGAGACCAGATTTTATTTTCTTGATTTCTTGTTTTTGATTTTGTTTTCTTGTTTTTTGGATATGTTTTCAAAATAAAAAGGGATGTCTGTCTGACAGACAACTTGTAAGTGCAGTGTCTGTAAAAGTCGTGAAGTTGTCTGTCTGTCTGTAATTGATGGTTAATTGTTCTTCATTTGTTTTGAGTTGTCTGTAAACGTTTTTAGTTGTCTGTATTTGTTTTGAGTTGTCTGTATGTAATTTGTGATGTTTATATTTTGAGATGTAATTAGTATAACGAGACAGACATTAAATATACACATACAAATAATAAGTATACACATACAGACATTACTTTATTGTGAATTACCATTTTGGCATATGTTTCATAAAAAAGACAGACAATACGTATCACTACACAGACAATAGAGATAACCAGACAGACATTATTTTTCACCACAAATTACATACAACTCACAATGAAATGACAAACAACTAAATATGAGTTACAGACAACTTCTCGACTCTTACAGACACCTCACAACAACAT